TATAGCTGAGCAGCAATACAATACAAAACAGTATAAATGTAAATATGAGCAGCTTCAACACTGATAAAACTAAATATGAAGTTCCATAATGAAAGATGGAGTCATTTACAGGCATATCTCAGTTAACAAAGCCTCTGACTAAGAGGCTTCTTTTTGCAAAGTATTTTATGAAATCTCTGCCCCTTTCCTTGTTTTCTGTTTAGCTGGAAGTCTTTTTGCAGCACTGGCATCCAAAGAATGGTGACAGAGGGCTAGAGAAAGATTTGACTTTCAGTGTTCAGTTGCAGCAGCATCTCTGCATAAACAATTCGAAAAGTCTGAGTTTTGAAAGAATGGGATTCTATTCTAGTTAGCCCTACTATAGCTGTGTGTGCTTATGTCCAACAGATCTGTCACCTTTGTGAAAAGCAAAACAGAGACAAAAGGGAAAAGCAGATTAACCTGCCTCACCAGCTACACCTGGCATGCTAAAAAGCATGAATCTGTAAGTTTTGTCACCAGGATGGAAATCATAAGAAAAGTGGAGGCTGGTGAAAGAAAGAAAGAAAGAAAGAAATCAACCCCAGGATGCATTCTGGAAGAAACTTTCAAGTGGCCTCTAGAATATTAGAAATGTTTTTGTTTACTTAGACCAGGCTTACCTGATCTGGTTGTTTTATATCACATGTGGATAAATGATAGGTTTTTTTGGAGGGGGAAAGTTTGCTGCAACATGATGAGCTGCTCTTCTTTTTTGTGGTTTAGGAACCTATGTAGGAAGAGATGATTTACATAACTTGCAAGTAAACAATGAAAACACTGAACTAATAAAAGATTTTCCATACCTTGGTCCAGTCATTAATCTGAATGGAGACTGGAGTCAAGAAATCAGAAGAAGACTAGAATTTGGAAGGGCAGCTATGAAGGAACTAGACAAGATTCTGCAGTCTAAAGATATATTCTCAAATACTAAAGTTAGGGCTGTCCATGCCATCGTATTTCTCATTTCTATGTATGATTGTGAAGATGGACAGCGAAGAAAGCTAATAGGATGAAAATCAACTCATCGGAAATGGGGTGCTGGAGAAGAGTTCTACAGATACCATGGACTGCTAAAATTGTGTTCAAAATTATATTGGACACAAATATTTGACATTCCATAACAGTAGCTCAGTAGACGTAAATTGTTTTAGCTTGAAATCGGTCTTTATTAAACTGTGTGGGCATATATTTTCTAGGAGGTACCAATTTTATGGTGGCAAAATTCCTATTCTCATGAATACAGTGAAAAGGGAGTCATTAACAGAGAAATGTACAAAACTAGTACAACTGTCTGTTACTTAATTTTGACAGCCACATATTTTTTTAAAAAAACCCAACCCAACCTAGTAACGAATAGTGCACTGGACAAATAGTGTGATGGGTATCATTAACTCAAGCACTTAGAGGAAAGTAAGAAACATTTTAAAGAATTAAAGAGATAAAAGCTATCAACATCTCTGCCAGATTTTGCCACCAAGACATGGGTTTCTTTTCAAGTCACAACTCATCTTGCCTGTAAACTCTGCTTTGACAGGAAGCCAAGCATACAATGACACAAAACTTTAATTTTAATCTGATAAAAAATTCTCTGTACAAAAATCAGAGGCCTGAAATATAAATTAGCTCCATACCTGTTGTTTCCTCACATTACTTTTCACCTCATATAAAGGCCGCAAGAACATTATCATGCCACCCAGTTCCATTTTGATTACACTATCTTAATATTCTAATTTTAAGTTGGTGCCTTTTTCTGATGTGTAGATGCTGTATTTTTATCTTGTTTTAATAATGGTGTACTTTCAAAAAAAGAAAAAAAGAAGTGTTTTAATACAATAATTTTGTTTGTTTTGTTGTGTTTTAATCTTTTTATCATCACGTTTTTAGCTCGATGTTATTTTAACTTTGTTGTAAGCTACGCTGGGTTCCATGATAGGAGACAGGCAGGATATAAATAAATGGAAAATAAATATACCCTATCAATAGAGAGCCAGCATAAAATAGTGGTTTGAGCATTGGACTACAATTCTGGAGATAGTCACACACTCTCAACCCGAGAAAACTCTGTGATAGGGTTGATTTAGGCCAGGGTCACCCTATGTTGGAAAGGCACACAACAACCACCACCACAACCCAATCAATAGTGCAATCCAAACTTTGATCTTTGTAATGACTTGACTCCAAGACAGCCAAAGTTCTGCATAGACATGCAATGTGGCTTCTCTCTCTTTTTGCTTGCAGACAGTGTCTTTTTGCATTCCTCCCTGACAATGGCAGCATCCACAATGCAGAAACAATCCAGTTTGATACCACACTAACTGCCATGGCTCAGTGCTATGGAATTGGGGGAATTGTAGTTTTGTGAGACATTTAGCCTTCTCTGTCAGAGCTTTGGTGCCACATAAACTACAAATCCTAGGATTTCACAGCACTGAGTCATGGCAGTTAACATGATGTCAAATTGGATTATTCCTGCAATGTGGATGAAGCTAATTCCTTGGCTTTAGTCCAGAAGCTCCCAACTAATTATGCTTAAAATAGTGCAAATCTTTTTTTTACATTATTTTTAAATTCAATGAGTATACAGGTTGTATTTCAGCACAATGGTTGGTTTAGTGTTCTTCTTTAGCTTTACTCTAGGTTTTTGATATTAGCAGTTTGGTCTGTGCCACAATCTGCTCTTGGTCTTATTTTGCAAAACGAATGGTGCATCTCCATCATCTGCTTCCAATGACTTATCCTATTTCATTTCTGTATTATCTTAGGGGTTTCTGCTATAATATAAAATATATGATGCTAATGACCACATATTTCACAACAGATAAAATTTTGTTTTATTGAAAAAAAAACCTGAGAAGATTTTCTCTTGGCTCCCATTTTAAGACAGTATTAAACTGTTGTATAATCAACACATTAACTGAAACTGAAACCTCTGTAAGAAGTATCTCTCAAATAAGACTGACTCGCTTAATAACTAAGGAAATTATACTTTTTTTCTCGCTAAATGCTGCAATCCAGAATACAGCTAGAATACTCATGTCCCATTCACTTCAGTACCATTTAAACAGCCCACCTAGCTTCACATGTAGACCATTGGACATATGAATAAGATCTTTTTGAATTATCCAAGGGATAGATATCAAAATACAGGAAGTTAAAAATTTATCTACTGAACACTCATTAGGTTGAAATCCACCAAATAGTTGAAAGCACTTGTTTATCAGCCCCATTGGTGCATTTCTCTGGGAGACATAAATATGTACTGGTAACATGACACTTCCATTTTCTGCTTCCACAGTTATTATAATCTTTCATGTAAACCTATGCAAGCAGAGGGAAAAACAAGAGGGAAAACATGGCACTCAGCAAATCTTAAGGAGATCAATTTATGTTTTTAATGTGTTCTTGCACGTTACCTCAGGCAATGCTAATTGTTATGTTTTGTTATTATTTCCGATTTTAAAACAGACTGGGAGTTTCATTGTTTATACAGTTACAGAAACTGATCATATCAGTTTGTAGTTTAATGTGTTACACTCTAAAGGTGTTATATACTTTGGAAACAAGCTATTGAAATGTATTCATCCAAAACCACATAAGCTATTAAACAGTAAAGTTCTGCAAACAGTCTCACTCAATAGTTAATACTGATCTCTTGTAACTAACTCTTACCACTGCTTATACTCAGCAATTATTGATGATGCACTGCTACACCAAAAGTCCAGTATTTCTATGTTATATGAGGGGCATAAACTAGGAAAAAAACAAAATAGGTGACAATTTATGATATCTGTGTTATCAAAATAATCTCCGAATATAGTGGAGGAAAATTAAACCAAGTGAGCAGGAACATCAGAAGACAAACTAAATAATCTCACCAGAAACATCTAGAATAAAAACATTTTTACAAATAATCAAAAAGCCAGGAACAACAGGGTCATGCAGACAGTTCACAATTGCTGGAAGGGATTGAATCTGAGTTTCTCAATTGGAGGAATGGAAGCAAACAGAGTAGAGCTGACACAAAATTATCATGATGTGCATTCCCTCCAGACGATTCTGGTTAGAAATCTCACAATCACATTCTTTATCACTTGAAGATTCTGAACTTTTTTAAAAAAAGTCACTTCAGGAATACAAGAAAATCTAAACTAAATAATGCCTAGGCATAAATTATAAAAATCAGGTAACATTAAAGGGCTTTGGGGTTGTTCTTCTATGGTTCAATCACAAGACATCTTTACTGAAATGAGGTTATGTACTTTCAATGGCAAGTTCCAAATTCTGATTCAAAGAAAGGTATTGAGGCCCATACCTGGCTGTCCAAAGTCTCATTCTATAAACTGGCCTTAATAGAGCATCAGCATTGTGTAGTAGGGGTAGGCAACCTTTCCCCTTTAAGGGCCAAGGGACTTCAGCTCCCAGAAGCCTCAGCCATGTTGGCCAATAGTCCCATGTTGGCCAATAGCTCCTGGGATTCTGGGAGCTGAGGTCCCTCGGCTCTTAAAGGGGAAAGGTTGCCTACCCCTGAAAGTGCTGGACTATGACCAGGGTTCAATTCCTTGCTCAGCCACAGAAGCCCAATGGATGACACTGGGCCAGTCACATTCTCTCATCCTCAGAGGAAAGCAAAAGCAAACCTCCCTGAACAAATTTTACCAAGAAAACTTCAGGATAGATTCACCTTAGAATTGCCATAAGTCAGAAACAACTTGAAGGCACCCAAAAACAACAAGAGTAAATTGTAGCAATAACCATAGCAGCAATATGTGCCTTCAAGTTTC